ATTAATATGGAGACAAATTTCAAAGAAATGATGCTTAAAACAAACAAACAATTAGGATTAATTAATGAGATTAATAGGAATAAGATTCTTTGTACTTGAGTTTTCATTAATCATGTAATTAAAGGTTACGAGTAGGAAGCTTCCTTGTATATAACCACCGACCACGACCATATTAACCCATGCTTTCACACTCGAATCTAAGTAAAATTGTTTTTAACTTTTTTTAATTAACATAGATATCCAGCCCGCTATGCGAACCGATTAATTTCAAAGTGACCACCTACTTTGTAGATAGCTCGGAGTCACCATATTTGAACATTTGTGGCCACAAGGGGATTTTTATTCCTCTTTGAATTTGAACCTGGGATCTCCTGGTACTTTTGACCTTTGGAGCCAAGCTCAAACCAATCAGGCACCACTCTTGTGGTTAGTAAAAAATTTGATCAATGGTACAGAATAATATAAAATAATTATAAAAAATATCAGGGTTTTTTTCTAAAACGACAACAACTTAGTTTTTTGAATCAATCGACAAAAAACTAAAAACCCTCCCCAAAAACGGTGGAATCAGTCTAAAAACACATCGGACAACTTTGCGGGCCTTGATTTACCTTAAAGGTGCCCCCACTACGGAAAAATCTTGGATCTGCCACTGTCTATAACTATAATCACCTCTCATGCATTGACACTGTTAGTAAGTTGTAGTCATTTTTTTGTTAATATTAAGAACCACACATAATTTACAGCGGGTACATCTTTAAGATCCCTGAAAAGTACATTGTATGGGCACAACAACACGGGTGTACGACACCCTGTCAGCCTTTTTTTAAATTCGTCACTCTATACTTTTAACGTTTAATTGTTTAAGTCTTCTAAGAAATATCAGTCGAATTATCTTAAGATGATCATAGAAACCCTTTGCAACAAGATATTGGGATAGCTCAAATGGATTAGAGTTGAACAAAACAAGTTCTATTCCGGTCTAAAAATAGTTCGATTTTGGACTAGTTCATTTATGAAAAATAAAAAAGGAAAAAGTTTAACAAATTTAAAACTTTTTTAAATCATAAGGGTGGTGCCTGATTAGTTTGAGCTTGACTTCAAAGGTCAAAAGTAACAGGAGGTCTCAGGTTCAAATCCAAGGAAGAATAAAAATCCCCTTGTGGCCACAGAGGTACAAATGCGGTGACTCCGGGCTATCTGCAAAGCAGGTAGTCGACCTGAGATTAGTCGGCTCGCATAGCAGGTTGGATATTCAGGTTAATCAAAAAAAAATAGAACCGGTTTTTATCCAGTTTGAAAAACCCAACTTTTATTCAATCTAACTGAAATAAATTTGTTTTGAAGAATAATCGAGAATCCCATCCGGTGTAGACATGAGCTACGGCGTCATGAACCTTTACCGTCTGATAAGTCCGACCTAAATTACCACCTTTATCCAAAATACATGTATGATGCAGAAGGGTTGGGTTTGGGTTATGAGGGTGATGAGAAGCGCAAAAAATATCTCCACCATTGGATTATTACTGATTGAATGTCAACACTAATGGGTGTACCGAGATGCACCATACCAATTCCTTTGTAAAGTATAATTCATGGGTAAACATTGGATTAAAAGTGATCAATAATTTAGATCTCTTCTTATGCTTCTCGTCGTAACTTTTCTTATCACATGATAACTTTAACTGAACTAGATATGCATATGTTTGATTTGGGTGATATTTTAGCCCAAATTAGTCAAACTAAAAATAAATAAATAAACAACATGGCTAATAATATATCCAATTTGTCAAAAATGACCTAAAATGCATCGAAATATTTACAAGACGTTCTTCTATTTATTTAATAACATAAGATTCAAGTTCGAATTTTTCAGGAGACCGGTTTGAACACCTCCGCTAGCATTAGCCATTAATTCAGCTCTGAAACTGTCTCCTTACATCTGTATAAAACTGGTCAAGATTACTGGTAGTCAAACGTTTGTGTTCAAATAATGTAAATTTTGTAATCATACGGCTCTTCTTTATATTTTGATCGAACCGATGTCCAGCTGATCAACGACGACACCACCATTTGAACATTTGTTACCTTTGGAAAACTGACAAATGCAGATGAGAAACACACATGCCGTTGCTGTTTGTTGTTCAGTAGATTAATATAAAAAAGAAAAATATATTTTATGAATAAAATAATCATATTTATTTATTTATTTATTACTACCAACTTAGCATGAGAGTTTGTGCTTTAAAATTTAGAGAAAAAGACAAATAATAATAAATCGAATAACGTGTGAAACTCTGTCTTCACCCTCATCCTCATGGTACAAACCATTTTATTTTTATTTTATTTTATTTCATTTTCTCCCTTTTTAATATTACTTATTTTGGAGGTAGATATATATAGAGTTTGGTTCACATGAGACCAAGAGTTTTTCGTGAGACCAATTTATGTTCATTGATCAACTTTATGATCTAATGATCTAAAGTTGCACGGTGGCAATTTTGTGATTATTGAGAAATCCCGTGGCAAGTTTGTGATTATAAATGTTCAGATTGTAGATTTAATCCAAGAATTGAGAATTGATCTTATGGGTCTCACGTAAAACCCTTGATCTCATATGATTCCAAGTATATATATATATATATATATATATATAGGTGGGTTCAAATAAAAATCACTCAATTTGTAAAAACCGTGAAAACCTCATTCAACCAATCATAATTTTTTATTTTGTTCATTTTTTTGTAATTATGAGAGGTTGATTAACCATTTTTATTGTGGAGGGTGTTAATCATGGATATTATCATTTTCATTAATTTAATTTTAGAGAAATACATRAAACAGTTTCATTAAAATTTCATTAAGTAGTATATGAAACAATTTCATAACCACATATGAAACAACTTCATCAAAAAAAAGTATTATATGAAACAATTTCACAAGATTAACAATTTCATGAAAAAATTTCATAAGATTAACGACGGATTGTTCACAGGCTCTCTCTCTCTCTCTCTCTCTCTCTCTCTCTCTATATATATATATATATATATATATAGAGAGAGAGAGAGAGAGAGAGAGAGAGAGAGAAAGAACTCGTAAACAATCGTACTCTATCATCTCGTACTTACACAGCCACAATTTGAAATAATCTGATAAAGTTTAGGTTTTCTGATATCTAACTTTTAGCAAATTAAACTTATGGATTTGGATGTATTATCTGTAATACATTACTTTTTTGTTGATTGATATTAATCAAGGAAAAATAATAATTAAAATCATAGCAAAGTACAATTATTTGTAAGGAAAGACATAAACAATCTAATACACAAGGATCAACTTGTTGTACCTAAACAAATGAGAACATATGGCACTACGGGACATTACAACCAGATACGAAGTTCTAGTAGGAATGTTAAACTGAAAACTTAAAATCTCAACAAAGTAGCTTCGGTCGAAGGGTTACATATAGTTCCCTTGTGTTCATTGGTTCAATAATTAAACTAACGTAGTATGAAGGGCAACTGTAACAAACCAACCACGTACAATGACCACTGACTATAACTAGATAGATTGAATGAGTTGTGTACAAAGGTACCCTTACAATACATGGACTAAAAAGTGCATCTTTGCGGTACCCTACCTAATACAACAGGCATCTCATACAAGACCCCACCCATTACCAAACTAAACAATAAAACATATATATATATATATATATATATATCCATTAGGTCATTTTGAGAACTAGAGAAATGATCTTAGCCCTTCATACGGTCAAGATCAAGTTTGACTGATCAAGAGTTGCGGCTTTGACTGATCAAGAGTTGCGGTTATGTAAAAAATAGAGGAGGTAGTTTCGTAACTTTTACAAATAGGCGGCAAACAGGTTCATATGTGAACCCATGCGATTTATATATGAACTATATGTTCATATATGAACTCGTGTAATTCACGTATAAACTATTTTAATTGATTTACATATGACCCCGTTTGTCATCTATTTGTAAAAGTTACGAAACTATCCCTCTATTTTCTGCATACTCATGCGAGAAATTATCTGGTGCTTCACAATCAAAGCCGTAAATGTTGACCAGATGAAACGTTAAGATCACTTCTTTACTTTTCAAATATTTACCAATTCTCAAATGAACTTTTCCTATATATACATACATATATTGTACTCTAAATATTTGGCATGAAACTTATAGCAAACTTATACATTTATGAAATGACTGAACATACTATATCATATCTCAAATCATACAGCACATTCTATTAATAATTGATATCATTGAACATAACTAAAAATATTGAACATAATACTAATATATATATATATATATATAGTTTCATACCACATGAAACTTACCTCTGGTTTGCGTAAACTAGCTAAGCATGTGTGTGCGCTACCTAATATGTCACATTGATTACTTTCTTGAACAATGAACGCAACAGTCCACGTGACATGAGGTCGAGCTACGTGGTCACAACGATCCGGTGCGCGACCTTTACCTCTCAGCCTACAGCCTCTACGTGACATACGCCAACACCAACGACCTGGGATCGCGCCCCTAAGTCGCAACAAGCCATGCTGTAACTTGTGGCTCATTATCTTGGTTGTCTTGGCAACTCGAGTCTGCTGACCTTCATGATCTAATCGGAAGTCCCAAGTTCATTTGATCAAATTCGGTGTTGCGTAGACGTGTAGTCTTTTCTTGACCATGTACTTTTGATAACCTCTCCTCATTCCTTAATTACTACAATCTCGGTTTTCAACTTGTACCCATCTTCTAAACATTGACAAGTGCGTAAAATCACAGTTATATACGTGATCTAGTACACGCCACTCATCGTCGTATGTTTCAAGTGTCATCTTGAACAAGCCTAAATCATCGTTAAGGATATCTTAAAATTGCCTCTACATATACTCTCAATAAAGATATTAAATAGTTCTGCAAAGGTGGTAGCTATAATGCAATAATTTCATGTAAACCGTTAACGATGTCAATTTCCCTCTTTATATACAACAAGTCAATAATCCATCAAACATTTGATCAGCAAATTGAATATTTCAAACCTAAATATAGTTTCAAGTTTAACATTATTCTATTTAAGCATCATAAAGCAGGAAAACAGAATATTAAAACTGCAGTTAACGTTTAAGTCGGCAAGACCAGACTCCTCAAACAGAATATTTGAGCAACACCACCATCATAATCATAATCATAATCGCACTTGCTTAAAACCTGCAGGAAAACAGTGGATAGAACATTGGTCAAAGTATTGATTTGTTTCAAACCAAAACCAAAACCAAAACCGACCCTAATAAACAGATTGTGACAAGTAAAAAGTGTGTAATGATTTCAACAACCACAATCCAAGAATACTTGAAAAGCATAAATCTTTTAGTTCCCTGGAGTTCCAACAACAATCTCACGCTTTGCCCTTAGAAGGCTTTTCTGTTGAATTGGAACAACTTTAATATTAGTCCCCATCGCAACTTGCTTCAGATGATCAGTGACCTAAAAGGGGGAAATACATATTAAAAAACAGAAAGAATGAACAAGAATTTGCACAACCCACTGTCTAGGAACAAAAGAGAAGTAAGTAAGTAAGTAAAATGTCAAATAATAACAGTTAGACCAAGATTCTCAGTTATGACACCTGCAAACTAACCATTGGCTAGAACCTTCCAATCATTCTCTGCAACTAATCATCTTGATGATGTAGAAGAATGCACGCAAACAAAATTAACATGAACAGAAAAACAAACAGTAGCTTTCAGTACATGTACATTTCATGCGTGCGAGCGATAGATATAACTCCACAGTGTCTCTTTTTACATCCTACTCGTAATGCTTTAGTTATCCAAAAATGATTTTTTAATAAGCCACTGAAATTGTACCTTAATCAGCAACAGAAGAATCCCGGGTACCAGGAAGAGAACGAAATTAACATGAAAAGAAGAACAAGATAAACAAAATTGACATAAATCAAAGTCTCTTGTCGTTCGAGCAGCATATTACGATTCAGCAAGATAAACAAAATTAACATGAAGGCAAAAACAAGGTGAAGAATAATTGTCCTTGAACTGGAGGAGAAGATCAAATCTAAAAAGATGGACTAAATTTTGAAGAACAGCGAAATAGAAATTGACGTTCTTGCAATTTCGGTACAAATTGTTCACCTGTTCTAAATACGCCTGGTGAGAGGACGAGAAGAGGGATGGCAAGCGCCGGTGAGTAGAATTGAGCGACATAAAAAGAATGGATTGAGTGACCGATCGGAGGAGAGAAAACTAGGGCGCGTATCCGTTCATTTCCGGCGGAATCAGTTTATATGTAATTTTGATTTTTTTTATATAATAAAGCCTTTAGATATGCTTTCGCAAATGTAACTAAAACCCTTTGTTGAATTTTTTTTTTAAAAAACCTTTACTACTTTTAGGACGCTAATAAAAACGTTACTAAAGCTTTTGCTTCAACTTTTGGATACTTTTTGTTCTCAGAAAAAGCGTCTCTAAAAGTTTTCGTTGCGTCTTATTTGACTTAAAATTCTTCTCTAGAAGTCTTACTACCTGCAGTTACATTTCTTATTTTTTGTTATCTTATTTTGTCTCTAAAAGTTTTAGAGATGTTTAGTTACATTTTTAAAACCGCCTCTGAATGTTTCTTCTCTAAAACCCCTTTCGTTTATAGCATGGTTTCGGTTAATAAATAAATATTTTTTTAATATTTATTATATCAAACACCTATCCTTATTGGGCTGTAATTGTGGGCTTATTGGGATTTGTTTAATTGGACTTTGTAGGAGGAAGTCCATGTTGATTTTTTTTCTAATTTTAGAAACTAATTAATAGATAAAAAATATCAAACCAAACAAAACCAAATCAAGATCCAAGATTTTGATTTCTTCAAATTTTCCTATATCTTGGAAAAGGGTTGGTTCGTCCAGCTCACTGATTCGACATCCAAAGTCGATCATACATACGACGATTTTCAAGTGTGAATAGCGAGAAGGTATAGATGATTAATGAGAAAAGGCGTCATATCTGCAGCGGATGGCTCTGCTTTGGTTGTTTTTTCTACCTTTTATGTCCATGTACCAACACATTTGGTTTGATGGTTTGTTGCGGAAATTAAAAGAGGGTAGCCCCTCTTCATCGTATCATATTATGTGCAGTTTTGTATTAGGCTCGTACTGCAGAACAAGCAAAGAAAACTCAAGGGTGTACGTCGTTTTTGCTCTAAAATAATTTGAGATGAGATGTTTCTTGTGGTGGTTAGTTGACATGGTGATAGTCCTTAGTAGCTAGTGCTGGATGGTGTTGTAACATAAAAAGAGTAAATTCCATTGTTTAAGGAAATGAAATGCAAATAAAAGAAAAAGTTATTGAACAGAATCAACAAACCGTTCAGTGTGGAAAGGACCAAAACCAACCATTTTTTGCGTACCATAGGGGTTTTGTTGCTAGGGGTGTACAGAAAGTTAAATCATCTAGTTGGACCGACCGAACATAATTGGATATCCAATTGTAATTGGATTGAATCGGATTGAATATTTCAGCATCCAATTCGGATCGGTCGGTTCTTAGAGGGCAGTTCAGAACCGACCAACATCCAATTAACCATCCGGTTATCCATCTATCACCTAATTTTAAAAAAAAAAATCAATTTGCTTAAATAGGAACTTGTTGCGTTGGTTTTTATCCCATTAAAAATGATTAATCAATTTATTTTAATTGTTGGAAAATTGGATTGAATCAACACATTCCATGGATTTGATCCAATCACCCACTAGATGTTGGATGGATCAAATTTGATCCATTCCGATTAATATTGACCAGATCCAATTTGATCCAACAAGAAAATCCAATGGATGGAACCGAATTGATCCATTCATCCATTGGATTGGATTAATCAGTTGTCCAATGGCTATTGTATTGGTTCGGTTAGCAAAATCCAACATTGAATGGATGATCGAATTGTCTTTTAACTTGACTTGAATCTAAACTTGGAGGATCAACCCGACCCGACCCTATCCATCCAAGAACCCAAACTTATTTTAACCCGAATCGTTCACTTTTTGCATGATCACCAAGCATATGCAATAACCTGCAGACCATGATTAATACCTTGACTTGAATCTAAACTTGGAGGATCGACTCGTCACCAATAGTCCGATGCATTCCGCCCATCAATTACAAAATTGAAGAACCAAACCGAAAATGTATCGGACTAAATCGAGCTATATAAAACATCATTAGGCTCATCCTTTTCTTTTTCTATATATAAAATATAAAAATCTGGATATTCATCCAACTCGTCTCGTTATTCTATCACATGACAGTGCGGCTTGCAGACTTCCCAAAACTCACAAGGCCCCCTCAGAGGTTGCATCCCATGTCAATATCTCTATGTCTGTATCTATCACATGACAGTGCGACTTGCAGACTCCCATGTCATTATCTCTATATCTATATCTATATCTATATCTATATCTATATCCATAGAGTCCGTGCTACATAGAAATGATTCATTCTTGCTTTGAGGTTTTTCACTGTTTAACTTTTACTCCAAAACATCAATACCATCACTTAGCAGCTAATCAAAACACCCCCTACATAACCTTGCTCATGTGTTTTATTCACAAATGAATGTTTCACAATACTAACCAAATCAATGCTTCATCTTCCCTTCTTCCTGTTACTACTGCAGGTTCTACCCCAGAAAACTAATGGCCAAAACTTCAAGTTTCCTGCCATCCTCGTCTTTGGTGATTCAACGGTTGACACGGGCAATAACAATTACATAACTACCCTTAGTAAAGCTAACCATTACCCTTACGGGAAAGACTTCCCAGGCCATGTTCCCACAGGAAGATTTTCAAACGGGAAGTTAGCCGTTGATTTATTGGCATCTCTGCTAGGGGTAAAACAGACAATTCCGCCCTTTCTACAGCCAGATCTTTCTGCCTATGAACTGCAGACAGGTGTCTGTTTTGCGTCAGCTGGAACTGGATATGACCGCCTCACTGCTGCTCTCACAAGAGTTATACCGATGTCCCAACAACTGAACTACTTCAAGAGTTATAGAGAGAGGTTGAAGAAGATGGCTGGAGAAGAAGCAGCACAGAGAATAATAGGTCAGGCGTTGGTTAGTGTTGGTGCAGGTACTAATGATTTTATTTTCAACTTCTATGACGTTCCCACAAGAAGGGTCGAGTTCAACATCCATAAGTACCAAGATTTCATTCTCGAAAGGCTCCATGACTTTGTTAAGGTCATCTCTCTCTCTCTCTCTCTCTCTCTATCTCTAATATGCACATGTGTGTATATGTTCATGTATGTGTATTAGCTGAACTACAAGATACATACATGTATCTACACGTACATAAGTACATTTATGTGTATGAATGTATATTTATGAGTGTGTGCATACACCCTTTTTTTCTTCAAGTTCTTATTTTGCTTTTTCCGTTATTTCTTTTGGGCAAGCCTTGACCTTTCTTTTTAAACATTTTGCACAAGCCGGGGGTCTTCACTGAAACAGATCTACTCTAAGGACAGAGGTCAGGTTTCCATACACCCCCCTCCCCTACCTCCGAGTGGGACATACCAAGTTGGTTTGGTTTGGTTTTTTGTGTGCATATGTTTATGAGGCCCACAAAACCGTAACTTGTATGAACTTGCAGGAGCTCTATAATCTTGGTTGCCGGACACTGATAATAACTGGGCTTCCACCTATTGGTTGTCTACCGATACAAATTACAGCCAAGTTTAAAGGACAATTTGGTAGAACATGTGTAGAGGAACAGAATGTGGATGGTCAAGCCTATAACAGGAAGCTTATAGAACTCTTGCCTCATATACAGTCGTCTCTTGAAGGAAGCAAAATCTTCTATGCAGATATATACAAGCCTATAATGGACATGATTAAAAGTCCAGAAAAACACGGTGTGTTTATGATAAAAAGTTTGTTTTTCAGCCAAAACATATTAGTAACTAGTGATTCAGAGAGCAACTGTTTCAGGTTTTCGTGAAACCATGAAGGGATGCTGTGGAACAGGGTTGCTGGAAGCAGGACCTATATGCACACCACTCACTCCATTGTGTCAAAACTCTTCAGAATACTTGTTTTTCGATAGCATTCATCCTAGTGAAAAAGCTTACCGTTATGTTACTGAATGCCTCAAGAAACAAATCCTCGACAAGTTGTAGAAAATGCACTGAATTGTTTATTCATTTCCTGCAAACAATACAGCTCTATTTTACTAAACCTATTTTACAACGATAATTTTGGCACCTGGGCTCCTAGTATTCAAATCATCGAGCCATATTATCGAACAATGGTCACACCACTCCATAGGTGTTTAAGATACTTCTAAATCCATATACAGGTTTCAACACTTACCTACGAGTTAGATATATGCAAAATACCCATCAAATAAATAATGTTCTTGTCATTTATAAGGATATGGCCTCTGATAGGAGTTCTTGGAACCCTAGGTTAGGGTAGCAAACTAGAGGTGGGAACTTGTAGCTAGCCTAGATGGAGGAAAAGAAGGGATCTGAAAAGATAGAGGAGGGGGTAGGGTTAGTGAGCTGGCAGTTAGATTTTCCAAGTAGGGGTGTGTGTTATTCCTACCTTGGTTATGTTTTCTTGTACCTGCTTCTATTTGTATGTTTTGGTTGTTTGTTTGCCTGTCGTTTTGAATGTGGTTGCTTACTTCTAACTTGTTTTCAAATTTTAGCATCGTATTTCATCCTATGAAGTTCTTCGTATGCTCTAGTTCTGTAAAAAATTTAAGCAAGTTTTTTCCTTTCCACACACTTGCACAGGCCAGGAGTTTTCATGGAAATAAATGGTCTACTCTTCGGTTAGATGATAAGCCTGCATACATCCATCCCGAAACCCAACCTCCAGGTGGGACATACTGGGTTTGTGTGGTTTGGTGTGTAGGCATGCCCATGTCTTTTTGGTTCGGGAAAGATGCTAGACCATCAAACTAGAGTGTATATGATCAAGTTCAATTAGTTTCTTGTTACCACAAGGTTAATATGATCAAGTTCAATTAGTTTCCAATAACAAATTGAATATTTTGGGCATCGATGGATCAACATTAACCACATACAAATGGCCAAAATTTAACAAATGTTACATGGCATACAACATCCATAAACTAGGCTAGAACGTCATGCATACATATGACAGTATGATACAAAACTGAACTTGACCCACAGAAACATAAAAACAAGAGTTGCTTACTTGCTGGCTTTTCATTTCCGACCACTTCCTGATACAGCAGTTCCTTGAAACAAGCCATCGATTCGAGCCTCAACATCTTCAACATTGAACTTAACATGTTTCTCTGCATATTTCCCAATATCTTGAATATTATGAAACCTGCCAAGAAAATTTCTATAAGCAGGGAGCAAATTTGCACCCACAGAAAGCTTCAATTCCTCTTTTAACTGCTCATCAAATATAGCCCATGTCGATTGAGTTCTACAAATCTCCTCAAATTGAGAATTAAATAGCTTAAGCTTCTCTTTGAAGGCCTTGGAAGCAACATTAGGAGATAAGCTATTGTTGTCCAATTTTAAGGCATTCAGTATCTTATTCCACGAACTTCTTTGGTAATTCACATGATATTGCCGGACTTTTGCTGTGTGCTTCCGGACCCAATCATCTCCTAAAAGTGAACCCAATTCATCATCTTTAACCTTTTTAACAATATACCTTCCATTGTTCATCATGAAAACAGAGGATAAAGCAGGGTCCCTGTAAATCTTGGATTTAGCCTCTAGATTACTCTCCAAAACTTCCATGATCCAAGCCATCTGTACTGCTAATGGAGAAGAAGGTGATAATGATCTATCGATACCCACAGGAGGTACCACATTTTCATCAAAAACTTGTTCTAGGGTTGGTCTAGAACATGCAGCTCGGAGGTAATTCATCACGTAACGGGTTATGGGATGAAGACCGCCACCAGGAACAGCAGCTTTTGCTGGATCACGGCGGATTAAATTCTCTAATTCCATAAATATTCCTCTAATTGATTCCCCTAATCTCTTCCAAACTCCCATGGCTTCATTTCTAAGGAACAGACAATATTGATCAGCAAACAGTACCTCGATTTCGGGCAACAAATCCTTCACGGCTTCAAAAACGTCAAGAATCTTGAACAATCTATCTGGTGCTCTGCTACCCATTGCGATTCCATTAGCAAAATTGAGCAGCTCCTTGGAGGACACTCTACAGGCCTCCATGAATGAAAGATCTGCCACAGCAGCGGTGGCGGAGGAGTACCCAAAAACACGGTCGCAGAGGCGGCGTTCACTGGGGTAAAAGACTCGAACAGCCATGTTGACTGCTTTGATCCACTTGTCGATTTCGACTTCGTTATCATCATCTTCCAGAGCCGCATTTGATTTCTGTAACCCTGAAAAACCTAATCTCGAGAGGCTTTCTTCTAAGAAATCCCTGCGGCAAGAGCTGTACGCGAGCGAACACTCCTTTCCATATCCCGCACTTACCATTCTCTTGGAGATCTCGTGTAGATCGTTGATGGTTCCGGACGGAAGCGCGTCAATTATGATGTTGTAATCCGACACCGGATGCGCCATCGGAATCTCTACATCATCATATCCATCATTGTCTTCTTCATCATCGGAATCTAAGTAAGCTCCTCCATCTCTCACAGCGTTATCGAAAGGCTCAGCGCCGCCGCGTTCCATTAGCAGCTTAAACTCCTCCTCAAGCCGAAACATACACTGCTGGAGCAAATCCTCGGCTCGATCGAGACAAGCCGTGACGGATTTATCAGCAGCCATGGGAGTCCACTCGCGGATCGCGGCAACAAGTTCATCAACAGCATCAAGGAAAGTGGAAGCATCGGCGGAATCAGACCAGATTGGGTGATTAACAGTGACGTACCTAGAGATCTGACGATCAAGAGATCTTAGGGTTTGATCAAGCACAGCTACACCGTTTCGTGAATCATCACCATCACTTAAGTTTTCAGTGAGCTTCTCACGTAACCTGCCATCAAAGTTAGAGAAGATTTGAAGTATATCATCGGCCATTGCATTGTCGGTGTGGCCGAGGGTTTTAGCTATGTGACGGGCGACAGCAATGAGCTTTTCTTCGCCATTTTCAGCCATGATTGAATCAAAATGTAGTAGGGTTTCTGAGTGATGAATGAAATTGGAAGATTGAGATGGGTTTTTGTGGTTGATGAATTGAAGAGAGATGAGATGAGATCACGGGAAAGTTCATGGAAGACGCGGATTCTGTGAAAGAAATAATATAAAAGGACATCGAGGGTTTGAAGGCGATGAAGAAGAAGACCGGAGAGAGAGAGAGAGAGAGAGAGAGAGAGAGAGAGAGAGAGAGATATTTTTATCCGAATTTGATTCTGTTTTCGTTTTATTCTAAAATGAAATTACATTAAAATGGAAATATATATTATCTTTTATATGGTAATATTATTTTAGGTATTCTATTTTTATTATCTACGATATTGTAACCTTTAAAAACCTTATTTGTCATATTTCTTATGTAATATTATTGTTGAGGTGGATTATTATACAGTTTTTTATATTTGTATAACTAATACAATCTAATTTCAATCATTCATTTAATTTGATGAATATATGATTTCATAAAAGTTTTGATTGTTTTCTAATATAAAATATTGATCATAATCAATGAATTCTATTCATATTCCATAAATATTCAAATCATAATAAATAAATTCTCATTATTTCCATAAACATCTCAATTTATCGGGTTGCATTGATTGTACAAATATGATGAGTTGTATTTAAAACGAACTCTATTATTGTTATCTCAATAAAGTAAGAATCTTGTCATATTTCTTATGTAATATTATTGTTATCTCAATAAAACTGTATAATTATTTTTATAAAAATCTTACTTTTTATTTATTTTTTTAATTTATAGATTATTACATAATTTAATATATATATATATATATTGCAAAGTTATATAAAAAAATTAAATATAACTTATTAGTTTTCATTTTTCTATATTATTTTTAATTTGTCAATTAAATTCAAACAGAAATATAATTTTATACTTACAGTTTAAAAAAGTGCAAAAATACTAAAATATTAATCTTTATAAAAAAATAACATTAAAAATTAAATAAATAATATACATCCTTCGTAATCTTGATTCAACCAAATGTGTTCAACTACTGGAGTTGATGATGAATTTCATTGGAGTGCGTCTCGTAATTTCATTGAAAATATTTTTGGAATTCATTGGTAGAACCTTGAAATATTTGTGTTGAAATGTATATCTCTTTATCGATCCAATTGATCAACATGTCACATTCATCTTCAACAATTTATAAATTAATTATATGGAGTTGAGTTCAAACGAGAGTTATACATATTTAATAAAATAAAAAGACGGTCGAATCACATGTGAATTTACATTAACAACATGTACAAAATTACATGTGATTCACACAGCTTTGCCCCGTGACTTGAAGACGCGGCCAAAGTCACCTTCACACCTTTTTTGACTGTTAATGTAAAATCACGTGTGATTTTGCACGTGTTTTGACCGTCTTCGTATTCTCTTAAATAAGTTACCATTCTCGTTCCCTCTAATTATATATATATATATATATATATGCACACACACATATATGTGTGTGTAGAGGCTCATTCAAGATATAATTGATTAGTTTGTGATAACCGTAAGATTCAATGTGAACCACTCGTATGAGATATTTAAGGATATTTTTTAGATAAACTAAAAGGGTAATATAGTAATTATATTTTTGACAACTAATCAAAATAGTTAATTAAGTTTTTTAGAATAAAATATTTAATTAAAATTAGTTACCTAGTATATCAATTACTTAATGTACATCGTATTTTAGAGACGTTTGTGAATCAAAGTATATCGTAACAATAACGTTCACATGTTTCACATGTATCATAATGTATTTTCTTTATTTTATGAAACGTATCATAATGTGCATTTTCGTTGTTTTCATTGCTTTATAAAGGGTATCACATAGTGCATATTCTATGTATATATGGGTATCACAGTGAATATCATTTGTAGGTATCACAATATGTATCTTGTGTTCACATAAAATTCATCGGAATAAGATTCGTCGATGAGAGGAAATATGAGAGATGAGATAGAACATTTATAAAATCTCTAAAATGCTCTTAATTAATATTTTAAGTTAAAATACCAAAATTCTTAATTTCCTAATTTAACATTTGATTTGTGGTTTTGAGTTTTAGTAACTACAATTCATTTATTACAACAATAAAAAACTTAATGGTTTTAGTAACTACAATTCATTCATTACAATTATTTGTTTGGTTTTAGTAACTACAATTCATTTATTACAACAATAAAAAAACTTAATGGTTTTGAGTTTTCTTTTAGTTTTGATCTCTTCGACCAACAACTAACATCTAACATCAGATAAGGGTAAAATCGTCATTTTAGCCTCCACCATTAGGGATCTGTATACGCTTGTGCATATCCTTTTGTTTCAAAGAATGTACATCGTTTGATTTAAGGTTTTAAAATGTAGTTTGACTCGATGGTCGTTTATCAAATGTCTATCGGATAAGCAGTTACGGACAATAGTCACAACTTACACTTACTTTATCGAGGTAACATTCTCGGATAAGATTATTGGATTTTGCTCTGCCTCTTTATTGCTCATCAAAATGGATTGTTGGTAAATGTTTTTTACTTGGTAAACGCATAGGATAGGAGTCTTACCTATCACTTAGATGAAATTTTTGGTATGCTATTTTTTTATCAGGTAAGATTCTATGCCATTGTCGTGATCATCCTGCAAGATGAATGACATTTGATAAGTACTTATCAGATAAAAGTTTGATAAACGACCCTCTAATTTTATTTATTATAGTAGTTCGATTTAGATTTAGATTTGATTTTTTTTCAATAAATTTACATGAGTTTGGTATTTTGATTTTAATATTCTTGATGGTGGTGGTTGGTGGTGGTAAGCTCAATTGAAGGTGGTGGTGGTGGTGGGTGGTCAGAACTTTTTCCTTTTATGAAATTTGTATATAAAATGACCAACATGTCCTTTATTTGAAGCACATATGATTGTAATAAAAGGGACCAAAATTAAATGAAAACTCGTATTACAGGGTACTTTTTGTAATAAATGAATTTTTAAAAAACCAATGTGTAAAGTGATTTAAATCTTTGATTTTCTTTATCAAATAAATTCGCGAATTTACTGAAATTGAATAAAGAAAATGTTTGAACTTTCATATTTTGAACGATTAAGTTTTTGTATTTTTTGAACGAATAAATCCTTGAACTTATAAAGAAATAAGCATATCATTTTCTCTTTCCGTGTAGCAACATATCATTGGTAAAATACAATGAACCAATAAAATAAATTGTAAGTGTCAGTTGCAAGCTTATTCAGATTTTGATTGGAGACGAGCATTGATTCTCGTGGATCAATGACAAGGGTTCTGCATGACACTTAATGATTTATTGGAAATCCAAGAACCCACCCACGGTTTCAAAATCGTTATCCAAAACTGAATATAGGGCTATGGCTTCCACTACTGCAGAACTTGTATGGCTCAAGTATTTGTTACGCGCTTTGCATGTACATCATCCTAATTTGATCTCGTTATTTTGTGAAAACAAGTCCACTCGACAGATAACTACAAATCCAACTTTACACGAGAAAACCAGACGTTAGACTAACGTGTGATTAACTATATTCAAAATTATATTATTTGCATTAACCTTCGTTTTTTAGTTTGTTAGCATTTTTTGTATATTCTTATTTTGATTTTACTTCGTTTAAACACAAACAGTTAGTTAGATTGTAAATTGATATACTAAAATTCAACCCGACCTAACTCACAAGGTTTGGGTTGGTTTGAGATTTTTCAAACTGTAAGCAATGATTTGGGTTGTTCAAGTGCGTTCAACCCCGACCAGCCCAACCCATGTGCGACCTTACTAAAAAATCTGATTAAGCCTGAAAGACCAAAAAACCACGTCTGGAAGCCCATCAACCCGAAACCTAAACCGAGCCTTAAAAAATCCATACCTTTTTTACTAACTGAAACGGGTTTAAAAGGCCTGAACTTTGTGCAATACGAACTTAAGTTATACATTTCTTGTTATACATCCACATGAACAACCAACAGAAACAACGTAGAAGAAAACGAAAATCAAATAAAACAGAAACTTAAATAATTTTGAAATATTATAAATACAAAATTTATGAACGAAATGCTTAAAACAACAAGAAAGATAAAACATAAAATGTAGATAACCAAGACAAAATAAAGAAAAAATAATAATTATACCGAAAATAAAATACAATTATTTTTCTTTTTGACGATTTTTAAATACATGTTTTTTTTTCCAAAACTATTTTTTTTATATAAAAACAAATAATAGTTTATTCCTTGCAACGAATACATTTATTACCAATGTTTTGAAATAAAAACAATGTATACAAATATATTTTAGTAAAACAATAAAAATAATAACGAGTTGTCATTACATTGATTATACCAACATTGAAAATCAAATATATTTGTTATATAATAATAAATATATACATATGTATTTAATTATATGCACATTAAATAAAATACAGAATTTAACCGGATTCAGATTAGAAGCAGATAATGTCATCCCCGACCTCGCTTCGGGTATACAGATAAATCTCTGCCCCAAACTCGTTACCCATAAAAACAAGGAATTCCTGCCACGTTAGGATCGGGTTTCCACGAGTACCCTTACTCATGAATAAAATTACCATCTCTAGCTGAAGGTTTGATTTTTCGACTCCAGAATCAAGATAAAAATGTATCACACTACATTATGGAGGTGTTTGGGATTGCTTATTTGAAACAACTTAGAGGCTGTTTGGATAATGGGAATTTGGTGGAATTGGAATGTCCACACCAAATTGCAAATAGAGTGTTTGGTTCACATAATTGATGTGAATGAATCCTTCCAATTCCAACAAATTCCTTAAGTTATTGATTTCACAATTCCACCGCATATACCACGGATTTCAAATTCCAATCCGACAAATTCATTAGCCCTCATCCGTTCATCGACGCTATATCTCGATTTGCTCTGTTATGCTATGCTCGATCTCCTGTGCTCGATCTCGTTTAAAACAAATAATGGCAACATGCCAGGTTCGGAGCAGTTATTGGTATCCCCATCCCTGAAACCGATAACTAAAACCGTCCCCGTGATCGCCCCGATCCCCGTCGGGGATCTTATCGGGGGTTCCCATCAGGTCCCCACGGTTTCCCCGATCCCAGTTGGGGAACCTGTTAAGGTAAAAATCAATTTTTTCTCGTTTACCATTGGTTATAACCGAACCCGAAACCGAAACACGAAATGGATGTAAAAAAATTACAATATGTTAATTTTCACAACTAAAAGTAAATTACAATTTTTTTAAAGATGCAAGTTTAAATGTCTCAAACATAATCGAACCAATTACAAACAATGTATTAGATTACAATATAAAACTAAACAGAACTTCAACATCATACAACTAAAATCACGATTTCACAATTAGACAAATAAACTACATTTTTCGTGAGCCTTATTTGGGTTCTTGAAGTAAAGTGGATAAAAGTTTTTTAAATTTTAATGTTACTATTTTCTTTTAATGATATTATATATATATATATATATATATATGTATGTATGTATGTATATAAATTAAAACTAATATATATACACATATCAGGGCGGACCGGGCCGATGATTACTGTCCCCGCCCCCGTTAAAATCCCCGAATTTGTCTTCGATCCCCACCCCGTCCTCGATAAGACGTCCTCGAACCCAACCTGAAAATTTCGGTTTTCGGTTTTCACCATCGGTTTTGGTTTTTTCTTGCCATCCCTATTCAAAACTGCTCAATCTGGTATGCTCGACCAGTCGACCTCTCTCTCTCTCTTGTTCTTTCCATCCTAAAAAGGGTTTTCTCGAAATGCCATTTATGTAATTTTCTCATTGAATTCCGTGAACGAAACAACAAAATTCCAATTCCGTTAAGAATTCCATTCCAATTCCATCCAACCAAACGCAATCAAAAGACATGGTCAAATTTCATCAAATTCCATTCCATTCTCTCAAAGTCAAATTTATTTGATCAATTCCAATTTCATCAAATTTCATTCTACGAACCAAACATCTCCTTATATTTTTCTACAAAAGCACTTATCAATTTATTATAAGTCAGAAGTTTAACTTCTTCAAAAACTTCTTATTACCGGTTTGATATCGATATAAACTGTTTATCCAAACACTTAAAAACGCTTATTATCGATATCATAACAAAATAAATCAATAAATTATTTTTATAAGCAATCTCAAACACCCCTGATACATATAACTTACAATAAATTTGCCCCACAATTTACATCAAATTATTTTGATTTTGAATTTGTTAAAAGGGGCCTGACTTCCAACCATCCAAACCCACCTGTTTGCGTATCGCCGTTTTCTCTCCCGTTATCTCTCCCATCCTCACAGTCGCGTTTTTTTCCCCTCAAAAACCCTAATAACTCATTTCATGGCGTCGAAATTCGGGATGGCCGGCGGCATACCGGAACGTCGTGTCCGGCCGGTTTGGGACGCCATCGACTCTCGACAGTTCAAAAATGCACTCAAGCTCTCTACGGCTTTGCTTTCCAAATATCCCAATTCTTCATACGCTCTCGTAAGTTCTACTGTCTAATTGCGTTCTTTTTTTTCGTGTGTCTGTTCTAATCAGAATGAATGATTCGGTACGTCACTCTGTTTCTCAAGATTTATTTCTTCAAGAGAAGAATTGTTTTCTTGTAAGTGGCTGATCTTGCACTCAAAGCTCTCAACAGCATCATTCTTTTACTTTATTTATTTTTGTTTTTTAATGATTCATGATTCAATAGGACTTAGGAGGTATTATGAAGTGTGAAGATTTCAGTGCCTTTCATTGTTAATGAAATGTAGATTCATGGTAGTCCAGTGCTTTTCATTGTTGGCCTTACGGTGATGTCATTCAGCTGTCTTGATCATTGTAAGGTAGGGGAGGAGTGTTGAATGAATATAAACGATGAAGACTTGAGGTAATAACTAATAGGTGTATAAATCCGCAATCATTAAGGTTTTATCTACCCGCGTAGTCCTCCTTAGATCCAATTAAGTTTCAGATGAACATTTTACACAGCAACTTCTTACAAGTTCAAGAACCCTTCTGTAATAATTCAAGTGAGAAAATGAGGGGATTCATGCAAGAGAAATTTGACGAAGTAGTGGTAACTTGTTGTATTGGAGTTGCAAATTTCTATGTAAAATTACCAAATCGAAAATTAAACTGGAGTTAGAAACTCAGTTGAAAATAATAAGTATTTACAGTTAGACGTGCCTTTCTGCGAAGAGCATCCAAAAGCGATATCTCTTTTCAAAGAAATGTCTTTGAATGAATGAAAAGACATTTGAGAAAACCAGCCTGTAGAGAAGAATTTTGGAGACAAAAGTTACGTAAACATGCTTTCTGCCAACAGACTTGTGCTGCATAGCCTCCAACTTCAGATGGATTTAGAAAACTAGCCTGAAGCCTTTCATTTTATAAACAAACTACTAGGGTAAGGTTTCACAGATCGAACTCGAGATATGAATTGAGCTGATTCTACTATTGTTGCTAATCCATTCCTTGGAAATGGAAGCTCCATAAAATATTCGAAAGTGCCATTTATAATACCTTGGGACATTCAAATACATTTGGCGTTCTTTATTGGGTTAACATATATACAAGCTGTGATCCTTGTGGTTATTACGCAGTTGGTCTATTTTGGAAGAAGAGCTATGATTTATTGTTCTGTTATTTTTTTAAATGTAATGCAGGCACTTAAGGCTCTCATTTTAGAGAGAATGGGTAAATTGGAGGAAGCACTATCTGTATGCATCAATGCTAAAGAGCTCTTGTATAAGAATGATTCGATCTTGATTGATGATCTCACTCTAAGCACGTTGCAGATTGTTTTTCAACGGCTAGATCATCGTTAGTATCTCAATGATGCTCCATTTTTGCATCTTTTTATAATATTCTTCTAGTTACTTAATCTACTTACTTGCATCATCAGTCGACATGGCTACCAGTTGTTACGAGTATGCATGCGGAAAGTTTCCAAACAATTTGGAACTGATGATGGGACTCTTCAATTGTTATGTTCGTGAATATTCTTTTGTGAAGCAGCAACAGGTTGATGGTATCCGGAAATATTTTGTCATATTTATAATTCGTTCTGACATTTTATGTAGCTGTAAATGTTATATACTAACATGTACCTCTTTGCTTTGTTTGTCTTCTTTCTTCCCTCCGTTCTTTGTCTTTCTTGCTGGTGTAGATAGCCATTAAAATGTATAAAATTGCTGGCGAAGAGAGGTTCTTGCTCTGGGCAGTCTGTAGCATTCAGTTACAGGTTCTTCTTCTAAACTCTGAAAGAGGATATACCATCCTCGGGCAATAAATTGTTAGTGTGTTACAAGTAAGGAGAGTAGTAGACAGCTTATTTGTTGCTTATGTTATAAGGTCTTTGCTTTTGGTAGGTCTTTTGTGGCAATGGAGGAGAGAAACTTTTGCAATTAGCCGAAGGGTTACTTAAGAAACACATTGCTTCTCATAGTTTGCATGAGCCTGAAGGTGCAGTTTAATTCATTCTTGTTATTGATACTTGTAAAAAGGACAGACATGTTATTCATGCACAGTGTTCTGTCAGCTGAGCGAATGATATTGGTTGCAGCTCTTAGTGTATATATTTCTCTATTGGAACAGCAAGCCAAATATGGGGATGCTTTAGAAGTTCTTTCTGGGAACTTAGGGTCTCTTATAATGATCGAAGTTGATAAACTACGGATACAGGTACTATCTGCTTCTTTATTATTAAAATATTTCTCTCCTTTATTATTATTATTATTATTATCTTATGCTCCTGTGATAAGGAACTCTCCTTCTAATAACGCTTTCTCCTGGATCCGGATGTTATCTATTTCAGTATGTTAGATATCTATCATCATATATGATGTTATTCAGTGTTTTTCTTGTAGTACTTATTTTTGTTATATAGATCTCACCTTCCTATGTATGTAAACTCTATTTAAACGCTTTTGACAAGATTGCCTATTTTCAAATAATAAGATGAGAACTAAAAGGACAGGAATTGTGCTTTATTGAGATTAAAATCTCAACCACATTATAGTCAATTGGTCCAATGAATGTTTTCATTTCTTAAGCAGTTCTGTAAACAATCAAAACATCAAATTCAACTGATTTAGGTTTTCCATTAGCATAAATGGTTACCAAACATCCTTTTTTTGGGTTTTGCACTTTTTTGAGAATAAACGAGGACACAAAACGGAAGCAAATCAAGCCTATATTTCTATATGCTGTCATTTATTCAGCAATGCCATTATCCTTGATCTTATTAGTAGCAAGTCATAATCTAGCAAGAAACATGTACCGGGGATTTTAAGATTTAAGTAAGAGAGCAGGGATGCGGAGGGGCAGGCTGAGGAAAACGTGGGACGAGCAGTTGAGGATGGACACGGTGAGCGATCTTAGACATTTCCAAGGACATACCTTTGACAGGAGCTCTTGGAGATCCAGGACCAGGGTAGCGGACCTCGGGTAGGGACCTGCTGCTTTGATGGGAGAATGACTGTTTGGAGAAGTTAAGAGGGTTAGACAGGAGGGGTATCACGGTGGTGGTTAGGTTGTCGGAGTCCTATGTTAGATACAGGGACGCCTTAGTTTTTCCTACTTATCATATTTATTGTTGTTTCTACGTATATGACCTGCGTATTCTACACTAGTATTAGTTTTGTTTTTATTAGTAGTGGTCAGTATTTCGCTCTTTGTGACTCCTCGGTTGTTTAATCTATTTTCCTCACCTTTGTTTCTGTTGCCTTGCCTTGGTTTGTCTTTTGCTTGATCGCACGCACTATCTTCCCGATTTGCACACATTCTTACGTGAAGCTTGCTGTCTTGTGTCTTCTCTTTGTTCTACAAGCTGGGAGTCTTTGCGGAAACAACCTCTTTGCCCCTTGGGATAGAGGAAAGGTCTGTGTACATCCTACTCCTTGGACCCTACTTGTGTGTGATATACTGGGTTTGTTTGGTTTGGCTTGGTTTAACACGGACCACATTGTGGTGATTATATGGTATATTAGAAGTTACCTGTTCCTAGAACTTCTTTTGGTTATAAGCTTTCATAGTGAAGTTTAGATTCATAAATAAAGAAATTGACCATATCTGAATTGGGAGTTAGCAATATGGATTTTTTTTCATATATGTATATATTATTTATTTATTTGTCTTGCATGTTTTTAGGGCTGTAAATGAACATGAACGGCTGCTTGTTCGGGTTCGTTCGTTTAACTTACCCGAACAAACGAGCAGAGGGTAAACGAACTAACTTTTTTGTGTCCATGTTCGTTCGTTAAGAAAATGGGTTTGTTTGTGTTCATTCATGTTCGTTCATTAAGATGCTAAACGAATATAAACGAACATTAACAAACAAATGTAAATGAACGTAAACGAACATAAACAAACTTACGTAAACGAATGAACATATCAACATAAACAAACAAACACAAATGAACAAAAAACCCATCATTATTCATCATCTTGTTCCACTTGAAAACTGGGGAAAATTAATCTACCATCATTAACTATTTTATTTAATCACCAAATACCATAGTAAAAATACAAAAAGTGTGTGAATACATAAACCATATCATGTACTTCAGTACTTGATATGTGATAATATGATTACTTAAAACTAGAATGATTTTGAATCTCAAGTAAAAAGGAAGTTATTAAAAAACTATAACATATTTTTGATTAATTTGATATAATATTATTAGTAATTTAAATTAATAATTTTATTACTAATTGTATAATATCTTTTCTATAGAACATAAATGAACAAATGCAATCAAACGTTCTCAAATGGAACCTTTGTTTGTGTTTTGTTCATTTAACTAATTAAACCAAAAAACTTGTTCATGTTCGATCATTTATTAACTAAAGGAACTTCCCGCACAAAGGTTCATGAACGGTTCACTGCACGTTTGGTTCGTCTACAGCCCTACATCTTCCTTGCTCCCAAATAAGAAATCAAAGTGTGACCTGCTTCTGTGAAAAGACTTTGCTAGTTGAATTCCACTTGAATAACTGGTTAGGAAAATTAAGATGTGATTTTTCTCTATTAAATCCTGTAGCAAAGTGTATGATTATTACTGGCAGTATTATTGCTCTTTATGATGTATTACAAAATAGATTAATACACACTGTTGCAAATTCCTAAAATAAAATTATATAGTTGTGTTTCTTTTGCTGGCATAATTTGTTTGCATATCTTATATACTTGTGCTCTTTAACTTACAAGTTGACAGGGGAGGCTTCTTGCTCGGGCAGGTGATTATGGTGGAGCTGCAGATATATTTCAGAAAGTATTGAGATTATGGTACGTCTTCATCTTGTATCTGCTCTTCTTATCCTATATATGCGCATGTAAGTCCCTCCTTTTCATTCAAAGACTCTGTAGTGCTCAGTATGGACATGCAATACACACATACGTAAATGCATAGGATACAGGTATGGGGATATGGGTGCGCAATGGGTGGATATTGGGATTAAAAAGTTCTAAAGAATTGACAATTTGGGGGTGCACTAATATATGTATGCATGTGTGTATATGATTTCAATTCTAAAATAAAACCAATAAAAGGATAAGGTTATTTCATAGGATACAAATATGGGATATGGACGTGCAATGCGTGGATACACACATACACGTAAACGCATAGGATACAGGTATGGGGATATGGGCGCGCAATTGGTGGATATTGGGATTAAAAAGTTCTAAAGAATTGACAATATGGGGGTGCACTAATACATGTATGTATGTGTGTATGATTTCAATTCTAAAATAAAACCCATAAAAGGATAAAGGTTATTTCATATGATACATGTACGGAATATGGGTGTGCAATGCATGGATGCACACATATACGTAAATGCATAGGATACAAATACGGGGATATGGGTGCACGATGCGTGGATATTGGGATTAACAAGCTCTAAAGAATTGACAATTTGGGGGTGCACTAATATATGCATGCATCTGTGTATATGATTATAATTCTAAAACAAAACCAATAAAAGAATAAGGTTGTTTCATAGTTTGTACATCAAATATGCAAGAGAAATGCATACTAAAATCTTTCTTATCATGCTTTTACCTTTAGTTAGTTTTTTCTATATTAGTACAAGCAATTAGAAAAAATAACTTGTGTTTGTTGGCGGTTTACTTTTCGTTTTTAGTCTTTGTTTTTATTTTTTTAAATCTTCATCTCCTTTTTTGGTAGAAGTGAGACTAAAATTGCCTCTTGCGATTCCCACTCCAAAGCATCTAATATGTTGTACGCGGATTTGGATTGGGTTAGAATCACCCTTGCTTTCTATAGGTATACTGACGCATGTAACGTGCAGTCGTGCACGATTAATCTGTATGGTTGGCTTATTCATTGTCTGTGCATTTATTTAATTAGCTGTAGATACGTCTTGCATGTTGATAAAAGAAATGGTTAAGTAGTTCCTGTGGAAAGGTAAGGCAAAGTGGCAAACCTCAATTAAGGTGTTACAGCAATGCAGCCTTTTACTAAAATTAGTTGGAGACAGTAGCTAAGATGAAAATGATCAGAAACTAAACACGAGATGCTAATCAAGATTCAAGGCAATGTAGCATGAACCACATCCTTCCAGGCCTCCTCTTTAAGACTAATTTTGTAGATATAGTAATCCTTCAAATCTCTGTTGACAACTTCTATCAATTTTCGCCTTGACCTTCGTGCATCTCTTTTAAAGGGCTCCTCTTGAAACAAATCTTGCATTCTTCCAAATGTCTATATCCGAGATGGCGAGATGACAAACTTTCTCAAGCGGCACTTACCATTTTTTCTTCATTTGAAGCCTTCTCAATGTTCCCTCAATTATCCTTGCGGAATTGCACATATGCTTCAGTATCCACATATCTGCTTCAAATCTCGTGTACATGGTTGTTGATGGTTCAACACATTTGATGCATGACGTGTCCAATGCCAAAGCTGCACTTCATTTATAGTTTCGAGCCACGCTTGGCCTAGTTGAAGCATTAGCACCACACCATCATCAAAGAGCAAATACCACGGCATTGCTCTTGTATGCTCTTTTTGAGCTCACCCAGAACCAAATTGAAGAGATACAAACATGATCCGATACATGAAGTATCCTGTTGTAATAGTGAAAGTACTAGTGTCACTAGCACATGCTATCTCATTAGTCACCACACATTCATACATGCTCTTAATTACAACAGCACTTGCATGGGCCTTCTTCTTATGAGCCGCTGTATAACTCTCCTCGGCACCCTTCTTATATGTTGACAAATTGATGAGGATGATGTGAAAACTCTTACTATCCTATGGACAAATTAAATTTTCTTGTACCACAAGAAGCTCGTGTCTGATAGTAATTAAAATTTTTCAGCTTCATCTTTGTCATATCACAGACAGCTTTGAGCTGCCGGTTTGTGAATTATTGCTGTGTTTCCTGTCTTATTTTTCACCTACTAGTATCTAGATTAAGGGCAGTTTGCATGCTACGGTATTTAATCAATGGTCTAATAGCTTTAACCTATTACACAAGCCTTTAAATTGAATTGATAAGCTTTGCTGGGAACGTACCTGAGTTTGGATACTGATAGCACTTCAAATGCTTCACAAATCAAACAATGCCACACTTGTGTGCAACTATATCCCTTTGGTGATGCAAGTGACCCCTTATCCTGATTCTTTCTTTTTGTTTGCAGCCCTGATGATTGGGAATGCTTCCTTCATTATCTTGGTTGTCTGCTGGAAGATGACTGTAGTTTGCCCAGGGTGGCTAATAGCCCTTCAAGCCAGGTGTCAACATCGATGGACTGCAAGCATAGACACTTGGCCGATGATGTGGTACATCCTTATGACTACTGTGTCCTTATTACCCTTACAGATCTCAGACATTTCTTTGTAACAAGTCCTTGAAGTTTATTCCTTTCAAAACTTGTGCAGTTTGATTCTCGCATATCGAGGGCTTCTGAGTTTGTAGAACAGCTAATTGCAGAAGTAGGTAGTGATTCTGTAAGAGGCCCGGGATTGGCAAATCTTGAAATTGAGAGGAGGAAACTAATATTTGGAAAGGGTAATGCCAACAAACTCATGGAGGACCTCATTCTATACTTCTCCAGGTATAATCTGATGATTGGTTAATATGTTACATTACATGTATCTCAATTTAAATGCTGACAACACTTGTTAGTAACTTATTGACGGTGGTTCAAGTCTTTTTTTCATTTAGTTTACCCTCCCCAACTCCATTCCCCTTCCACACTTCCTCTTGTTCTTGGTTTAGCTCTCCAAGTTCGAGTAATAAAACACAATAGAACTTTCTGAAGCTTTTCTTTCCTTACAACAGGTTTGGGCATTTGGCTTGCTTCACAGCTGATGTGGAGGTCTTCCTGCAAGTTCTACCTGGTGATAGAAAAAAAGAGTTATTAGAGAAGTTGGGTAAAAGTGTCACTTCTTCCTCAACAGCATCAAAAAATGTTCTTGGGCAACACATAACACTCTTTAAAATAAGAGAACTGATTGGTGACATGTTCTCACTTCCCGAGGGAGGTAAATTGCTCAATTTTTCTTCTCTTAAGAGTTTTTTTTTCTTTTCTTTTTGTAATATTGTCAAGGCTTCTTGTCTCTCCTTTGATTTGTGTCAATGTCCTTTGATCTTCATTCTGCCTACCCAGAAGGTCAAATTACATTCACATTTTGTCATTTTCTGGTTGCTGATGGGTGCGTCTACCATCAAGTATTTGAACTTATCAAGCCCATACACTGAAAAGAGAAGAGACTTATACGTTGGAAATACAGGTTGTACCAAACTGACTTTTAGGTTTATCAATTAATACAAAAGGATACTAGTAAAAAATGATGAAGTTTCCATCAGAAAAGTTGTGAAGAAAGTAGTAAAAAGGCAATTAGGAGTAGATCTATGCTAAATTTATCTCAAAGGCTGCATGGTTGTTCTTGCCGAGAGACGAGTATATATATTGCTCAAGTGAAATAAGAAGCAACAAAATTTCGAGCATCCTTGAGTGCATTGAGGTTATTATGTGAAAAAAATGAATCGCATTACTGCGAGCGGTATCTACATTTCATATATTTTTCCAAAATTTTTACTGCTGCCCTCTTCCTGCACAGATCTTGTGGGCTTTGCAGTTCAAATGACAGAAATGTATTGTCAAAACCTTCCCCTTTCAAAGGACTTGGATATACAAGAGAGTGTATATGGTGAAGAGTTTCTAACTATGACATGCAATGTACTGGTTCAGGTATGTATTGTGTATATATTTGGTAATTAGTTTTATTCATTTTGTACCCTCTATCTATATTGTTTTATACTATATTTTCAATTAGAGAAGTGTCCTTTTTTGCCTCTGGTTTGGCTCTAATTATATATGTATCTGTTTTTCTTGTTTTTATTGTTCTCTTTTCTGTTTAGTGCGATTCTTTTTCCTTGTCAAGTTGTGCCAACCAGATATATTTCCGTTCCTGAAGATATTGAACAATTTATGTGGATATATGGAGAGATTTAATAAACCCAGAAACAGTACATGTGATAGTTTTTTTTGCCGTTGGTTTTCTTTGGCATCTATATAGATACAAACCTTGTTCTAAACTAAAGCAAAGGAGTATCAAAGGAGTGTCATATTGATATAGGGGGTGAGTAAACAAATGAAAAACAGGCAAATGCAAAGTTAGCAGGCAGTTGAGACAAGGTCCATCTGTGAACGTAGGTTTTCATTATGAAGGTTAATTTTTGTGACCTCAGAATTAGGCTGAGTATCAAGCGATATGCTGTTGGAAGCTATGGTTAATTGTTTTTTGACTGTCTTGAGAATATACTAGTATGCATAATTTATTACTTACTAATCTGATTCTACATTCCTTCTTTGAGCAAGTTATGTTATTTTGAAGTTATGGTTTTAGTTAATTTATCGTGGTATCCTCTGGAAACATATGATCTTCCTTGCATTTGTTGCTTTTATTGAAGCCTTAGTTTTCTTGCTTTCTTCTTGTAGTTGTTCTGGCGTAAACAACATATTGGCTATTTATTGGAAGCTATTATGATGTTAGAGCTTGGCTTGACAGTTCGAAGGTTCTAATTTCTTCTACTTATTTTTTATCTCGATTACCTACTTAGTATTAAAAAAATTCCAGCTCATCAGTGAACACTTTAATTGCTAGAACAATTAATCATGTTTTTGTTGGCTTTTTATAACTTAGAAGAATAAAACTGACCTATGGATCCTTTCTTGATAAGGACAGCAAATTATCTTTGTGGTGGATGATTTGATAAATAAGAATTTGTGACCGATGACCACATTATTTTGTAAGTGGTGCCTCATATATCTGGATTTGACACATTCAACAATTTTCTTCTTTTTACCCCTCATGATATCAACCTAAAATCTTGGATTTGGTTGGCTTTTATGAGACCATCAAAGCAATCAATTCGAAATGTTCAATGCTAGTGCATTACCAATACTGCTTGGTCAGCATAGTTACTCCTTGTCCTGTTTGGATAGTTGTATGTGAATTTATTCCACTTCTGCCCTTCCAGTGGTCCCACTATTACTAATCATTTGGATGCTTGTTCTTTTTGGCAGATATGTGTGGCAGTACAAGATTTTGTTATTACACTTGTATTCTTATTGGAATGCACTTCCATTAGCATATGAACGGTAAGATATTTCATTTAAGTAGTTGATTTAGGACTATAGATGCTCATATGCTCATTTCTGTGCCTATTTTTCCTTTTTCTCTACCATTTGTTTTTTGCAAGTCATTATTCTGTGTCTAGGCTACCTTATGGTTACTCATCTTGCTTAGGTACAAATCATTGGATGTGAAGAACATCCTGCTGGAAACTGTCTCGCATCATATTTTACCCCAGATGTTGACATCTCCCCTGTTGGTAGATGCTGATGATCTTTTGAAGGGTTACTTAAGGTTCATGGATGAACACTTTAAGGAATCTGCTGATCTTACTTTTCTTGCATATCGTCATCGAAATTACTCAAAAGTACGTATATGTTACATTAATATCTGTATGCCAAAGTCGTGGACTTTTTATTTTTTCAAATGTTTAAGTTATAATCTTCATTGCTAGTTTTTATGCAAGCCGTAACCATCTGTTCATACTTCATTTTCTTGTCTATTTTTGTGGCTACTCATTCTTGTCCACCTGACTACCATAGATTCCTTTTAGATTTTACTCCATTTGTGTTGTGCTTTCCTCGGGAAAAATAAGCCTTTTGCTAGTCCGCACCACACTTCACTTATGGGTGTGATATACTGGGCTCGTTTTGGTTTTGGTTTGGCTTCAGCACCACTCCAGAAATGACGCTATAGTAATATTCATCTTTACTGATTGCGTCTCCCAATTCTTGGGTTTTTGCAGTTTACCAAACTAAGCGAGCCCAGTATATCAGATGTTTAGTTTGATTATGAGTGGTCTAGTTGAAGTATATAAAGTATAGTGAGATGAGCAAATCTACCCAGATCATGACAATGATATTTGGCATTTGCTATGTTTGGTTCTATATGAGAAGTGTTATTATCTCTTCTTTGTCCAAATTTACTCTTGTTAAGCTTGTATCAGGAGGTACCAGTATGCCTTGGTTTGCACATTCTTATGGCTTAGCATCTTCTGTAGGTTATTGAATTTGTTCAGTTTAAAGAGAGATTGCAACGATCCAGTCAGTACTTAACGGCAAAGATTGAAGGATCAATTCTACATTTAAAGAGGAAAGCAAATAGCATTGAAGAAGCGGAGGTATTTACCTGCCATCCCTGTTCTATTCAGCTTTCATGTGGCAATATTGAACTGACATTTACATCGTCTTCTTTTTTCTAGTCTGCGCTTGAAAGCCTGAATTATGGAAGTGACTTTCTTGATGTTTCAAATGAGATTCAATCCAAGAAGTTGACCTTTAATGAAGATTTACAGTTACGGCCTTGGTGGACCCCGTCATATGACAAAAACTACCTTTCAGGTAAGCATAACTTGCACTTGCTTTAAAATCACTGAGTAAATCAAACGAATCATACCACACGGAGGTAGGGTCTGTGATTGAGATGGGCAAAATGACTGGGATATTCAGTCCAGTCCATTAATTTTTTTATTTTATTTTCAAAGTTTGTTTTTACAAAATTTAATTAAGAAATGTCATTTTCATTAAAAATTTGGTTTTTAATTTAAAACATAAATCATTTTTACATCCTAAAATTAAACTCAAGTTGTAACTTTTAATGCATAATATACAAGTTATCATATTAAGTATTGTTATTAACGATCAAACTAGTAATTTAGAAACAATAGTTTGAATAAGTCTTCTAAAAATAGCCTTTTATCTTTTTAAAATTGCTTTCGTCCCCCTTTTTTGAAAATAGTTTGAATTTCAAAAATATCTTCCCCTCCCTCTTTCCATGGTACGTGTGAATATTTTTTTTAATTTGTAATTTAAAATTTATTAAAAGTATCATTTATTGTAAATTCAAAATGTTTTTACATATTTGTATAAAAACAATAACCATGATGCAGTAAAAAACAAATATAACTGTCCAAGAGACAACTTCTCATATCTTAACATTTTATTTAAATTAATAATGCATTTTAATTAATATTTAATAACTTATATAATATATATCATATTTTATAAAAATGAAAAAATCAGACCAAATGGACTAGACAAAGACTGGGCTGGGCCGGTCCCTAGCCTGACAGACCAGGACTGGATTTTTTTGAACTGGTCCATGCCCATCTCTTTTGGGGATAAGATGCATGCCGACCTTTCGAATCAAGCAGAGTGGAATTTTTAATTTCGTTGTGAGATGCATACTTGAATAAATTTAGTCATTTCTTAATGCATCCACGACAAAGATGACGTAAATGGGTAGACCGTAGAGTGTTTGATAGAGAGTGGTGAAGAGAAGGCGCCCAAAATGAACAAACTATTGGTGAAACTCATCAAGTCTTGAGTGAGGGGTTGGTAAAAGAAGGCATTTAAGTTGATTTTCTACTGGCATTTTTTACATTGTGACTGCTAATTTAGTTTATTGCTTTTTTTTTTCCATCTTTGCTTGTAGGACCGTATGAAGACATGTCGCATCATCCTAGAGAAAACCCGGTATGGACCCTCATCTCTGTTTTCGTAACATCAAATGGGTAAATGGTTTTGGTACCGTCCCAGACTAAATGCACCATTTTGTAAAATCGCTGGAGCTATATTTACATTTTTTTGTGGTTCCTAAAACTTTTGCAGGAAAATTTACTAGAGTTGGACGCTTGTTTTCGATATTATATTCTATTTTAGTTATTCATGTGAATTGAGGGCGGGACAAGGGGAGGGACGCGAGATTAGGGTAACAAAGTCCTGCGATATTTTGAATGTTTCAATGTGCTATTTTTTATGCTTATCGTTTACTAGTCTTGGTTCATCCTTCCTTTTTGCTCACACTTTTGTACAAGCTGGAGGTCTCCACTGAAACAGCCACTCCACCCTTTGGGGTAAAGGACAAGTCTGTGTACATCTCACCCTTTTGGTCCTACTTTTGAGTGTGATATACAGGTTCCTTTTGGTTTGGTTTAGTCACAACAGCATCTTCATGGTCGTCACTGAAGCCAGATAAAAGTCTTTACAACATGCACATTGGGTGCTTTCATTTGAAATTTATGTAGCAACTACATGTCATCTCTTTTCACATATATTAGTAGTAAGCCACAGTTTCCATAACAAAGGTCAACGGATGCTCTTATACTGAATTTTCTTACTTTTTACACTTTTAGCAGAATGCTCATTTATTTGTATGGTTAAGAAACTTTAGGGGATACATCTACTTCTAAAACTTTATATATGACTGGCTTTTGGATCCTGTAATCATGTTTGTTGGTTCTAAGTATACCTTTCTTACAGACACTCAATTGACACATTTTCTTACTGGAGTAATTTATTTCTTGTGATTAATGAGAGTTAGATTGGGATAGATGAATACTTAAAATGCTAGTTCTTTGATCTTCTGTTGCAGCGGAATGAGGTTAAAGAAGCAGAAGCAAAGGTGACAAGAACCATCGAGAAGAGGTCACTACTTCCACGTTTGATCTATCTGTCAATACAATGCGCTTCATCATCAGTAAAGGGGAATTTCAACGTCAATGGTTTTGATTCCAAAGTCTCCTCAGAGCTCAAGTCCTTGCTTGAATGTTATGCAAACTTTTTAGGGCTATGCTTCCAGGATGCAGCGGAGTTGGTTATTGGAGTTTCATGTGGTCAGAAATCTTTTGAGGTAAGAAATTACTCCCTCCATCCCAAAATAAATGGTCATAATGAAAAATGCGCATTTAGAAATATGTAAATATGACTTCTTTTTTTTAATTAAATGATAATTATACCCTTATTCATATAGGGAGGTAATGAATTTCTCGATCTCATAATTAAGGGTAGAATTGGAAAGTGGGCACTTACTTTTGAAAGTGCACACTTGTTTTGGGATGGAGGGAGTATGAATTATCTACATGCTTCTGTTGAACCCACATTCATTTATGTGATTATTAATTTTTACTTTAGTTTAAGATGAGTAAGTTCGTAAAAAGTTTGGGCAATGTTTGTCGGGTTAGTGGGCAACTTTGGAAGCTAAAGTTACTTATTGTGGGGAGCCTAAATCTCAAACTATATGTGACATGACGTATGAGTGAGGGGAATAGCTATATAAAAAATTGTATTTTTTGTTAGAGTAAATTGCTCGAACATGTAATGTATTTTGGTCCTATTCCGATTTTGTGTAACGTACTTTCCAAACTCTCATTTTGGTACCTCATATGTGATTTTTCAAACAATTTAACCAAAGTATGTTGCACAAAATAGGAATCGGACCAAGATGCATTGCATTTTCATATATTCTAAGATGTAAATGAGGTATCTAAATGTTTGAGTTGCCACATATGAAGGTTTAGAAGCACGTTATACAAAATAGGAATTAGACCAAAGTTATGTTGCATTTTCATGCAATTTTCCTGTTTATTTTAACTGTTGGTACTTCATGAAAATTGCAACACTCTTCTTTTTGGGTTTGTCCCAAGAAGTTTGCGACATTTTCTTTTCCGGAAAGCTCTGCCTCTTTGCATCATCATCTTTACAAATAAATTGCTGGGATCGATGCGGGTCCACATTCGTGCTTATTGAAGGATATTTTGGATATTTGACAAACGGTCACACGAAAGTTGCAGTTTTCATTCGACAAAAGAAGTAAACCTTTCTTCTCAGGGGATTTTTGGAGTAGAATCTGCTTAATTTTGTATCATTACATTTTTAGTATATCTGAGGCTCCATGGGAATAATGAAGCTGCATCATTTCTTTTTCGTCTTGTGAACTTCTACAAAGCAGATTTTTTATTCATCGATTAACTTTGTATTTTGATGGGAAGCAGGTTTTCTCATCGAACCTTATCGACTGGATGAACTTTGCTGTGTTTTTGAACGCCTGGAACCTGAATTCACGCAAACCAAATAGCTCAGACGGACAAGCTTTCGCCATTAACTGGCAAGTTTTATGTTCTGTGTTAGAGCAATGCATTTCAGCAAAGATAAGTTCCACAAGACCATTACTCTCTTCTCCTGGAACCGACCTTTCCATTTTGATCCAGTTGGTGACCGAGCCATTATCATGGCATGGTCTCATCATCCAGTCGTGTGTCCGATCATCCCTTCCATCAGGAAAAAAGAAGAAGAAAGGTGGGCCCTCCGAGCACTCGAACACCCAACTCTCTAATGAAATCAAGAACTCAATCTCTTCGCTCTACGGCATGATAGATCAAGTTATAAAATGGTTAGAAGAACAAACTGACAAACCAATAGATGGAAACGTTGACATCTTGTTATCGTCTCTTGCTAGAGAACAAAACGACGATGCACCTGGAAAAGTTGTCAAAATTCTTGAAAATTTGGTGTCATCCGTGAACGACATAGAAGTTGGTGAGAGAATTTCTCAGGCACTTAGGTCTTGGAAGCCTGCTGATGCTGCAAGAAAGATTGTAACGGCACAGGGAACCGCTTTGACGGAGTTTCTAAACATATGCGAGTCGAAAGCTAAGGTTTTGCAGGCATTGAAACTTCAAATATAAGTCCAGAAATGAAGATGAAGATGAAGATGATGATTTGATAAATCCATTGCAATTGGAGGTTTCTTGATGAGTTTCTTGTACACTAAATGTTGCATTTATTGAATTTCTTGTTTGATTTTAGAGTTTTTGTGTATGAACAGAAATTTTGGCCTCAATTTGTTGTAAATTGATATGCATTTCAAATCATCATGTTTTTGGAGATGGGTTTTGGACCAAGTTGTCTAAACAACTTTACATGTGACCTAATCTTGGCTATAAAAAAAGAATCCCTCTAAAATCAAATTCTTATAAACCGATCGTATCAAAGATTCTAAACCCTTTCAAAAAAATCGGAATTGCTTAAAAACATTCTTGCAAACCGTATGGCTCCTTAGTGAATCCCATCCTTAGTGAGATCGTTCTCACGAGAACTCCATGTTTATAAAAGGATGGATGAAGTCGCCAGAAAAATGGTTGAAATGATGTTTGGGAATAAAGAGAAAATAAACCGATATGAACACTATAACGGCCAACGGACAAAGCTATTGCAAAAAGCCAACCGGTTTGGAGTCATTGCAGGTAAATGTTCACGACCATAATGGCTTTTACAACACCTGGATTTGGACTTGGAGAAGATCGAGATTACCATTACATCCCTTTGAGACTTAGGTGGCGTTTGTTTTTTAAGAGGTGCTGAAATCTGAAGTCTGAATTCACTTCTGAATTTTAAGAGGTGGTGCTGAAGTCTGAAATCTGAATCAGTCAGACTGTTTGTTTTTACGTCTGAAATCTGAAATCTGAAACCAAAGAGAGATCGAGAAGATTACCAGAACACCAGCTTGAATCTGCGATGTATGAAGAATACCAGCTTCAATCGATGAATGGGACGAGAGCGGATGAAAGCGACGTAAAGGAGGCGGATGAGAGCGACGTAAGGAGGTGGATAAACAAATAAGAGGTATTAAGAGCTAGGGTTACCACTTAAAAATTCAGAATAAACTTTATGAATTCAGCTCTTAATTTGGGGGGAAAAACAAACGATCTGAAAGTCTATGTGTCTGACCGATTCAGACATAAGAGGAAATTAAGAGGCAAATTTAAAAAAACAAACCGAGAAAGTAACCCACAACCTAATTGGTTGACCTTATGCCGTAGTTGTTTGTATGTTTCATAGTCCAAGGGTAAATATGTAACATCACTATATCTGACTTTTTGTCGGATCGTATCGATGCATATTTTATAGTTTTTAAGTTATAAGTTCAAGTATTTTTTCAAGGGAAAAATTAAAAAAAAAAAACCCAACAAACTTAACATTTTGAATGGTTTAGTTCATAAATTATTTTTTTAAATGAAAAAACCATTAAAGTTTCTCATTTTAAATGATCAAGTCTCTAAAACATTTTTTGAATGAAAAAACCATCAAAATTTTTCATTTTGATTGATCAAGTCTCTGAACATTTTTTAATAAACAAATCCCCACATCTTTAAAAATTGGTTATCTACATCTTTTTAACCCAAAAAAGTTACATTAACCGACTAGTAAAATTCATCGATTAAAAAAAAAAAACCAAGGTCTTAATAATCCAAAATGTGAAAGTTTAATTGGTTTTTTAATTCAAAAAAATGGTTCAGAGACTTAATCATTCAAACAAAAAAAAGTTTAATGACTTTTTGACTCAAAAAAACAGTTTAGAGATTAAACATTCAAAATGAAAAAGTTTGTTGGATTATTTTATTCTTTCCCTTCTCTTAAAACATGAAAATATCAGTTTCTTGAAGTTTTAAACTCAAGTCAATCCAATTTTTTTTGCTGATTTTCGTAGGTTTAATATATATACCGCAAACAATGTTTTAGCAAAACTACCATTAATTTGTAAACACTGTTATGAAATATCAATCGGAACACCATTCCATCTTTCAAAACAGAAGATCGAAACATAAACAATAAAAAACTAGAAAATTACAACCTGTCGAGTTTGAAAAAATGTTCGATCTCGATTAGCTGTTTTCATTTTAAACCAAAAGTCGTATGTCACAATTTTGAAAAGCGATTTCAGTTCTCAAAAATAAAATAAAATATTATATAAAAAAATAATAAGGGGAGAGACAGAGACTGGTGAGAAGTGAACCAAGTCAACCAACCCTAACCATAACCAAATCTCATTAATAATTAATGCTGCTCACTTGGGCCCAACCCACACCTATACAATTACAAACCATTTTTTCATATATAAAAATAAACTAGAAAATATACAACCAAAATTTACAAAAAAAGACATTATATTACTTTTTTTTTTTTTTTTTTTTTTGATAATTGTGTGTATCCGGATCAGCTTATCAGCACAATCAATCCCCTGTCGATCGCAGGTGAACCATTACCTGGATTCGAATCAGGGAAGATGAGATTTCCACTATATCCCCTGAACCAACTGGTTTTTATACCATCTTGTGTTTTGTGGTGTAGGTTTTGATCTAATACGTTTGGAAACACTTGATGGATCAACGATCTCCGTTATAAGAACAGGGGCATTATGGTCAAATCATGTTAATTTATATTTCTTCGAGCATGATCGTGTTAATTTAACCAGCTGGGTTAATTAGCAAAAAGGGTCATTTAGAACAATACTTTTCATATAAGTTTTTTTTATCAGATACATGACATTCCGACAGATTTTAAGACAATTTTCTGTTAAACAAGATGGTTCTTGAATACGACAAAACAATAATAATTTAAAGATAATTCCACTACAAAAACCATTCTCCTGCTTCTAACTACAATAATTTTCTGTTTGGCAAGTGGTTGCACCAATTCATTCTAACTTCACTATTGACTCATATAACCTAACCCCATATATCACTTCCAACTCCTTAATTAATCTTCTATATAAACCAACCCCTTAATCACACTCTAAACACACAATTAACAATCTTCACTCGAAACACATCGAAAACGAAGCACGATGCCCATCTCTCGGGCTCTTTTTCTAAGCGTTCTACTTTCCCTTGCTTTTACAGCATATGCAGAAACGCATTACCATGAGTTCAAAGTATGTCATGATCGTATCTTGATCATTTAGGTTCGTCTTTTTGTCTTTATCTGTTTTTCGGAGGTTAATGGATCGATCGGTTGGCTTTGGTGGTTATACAGGTTCAAGAACAAGCGGCCAGGAGGCTATGTAGAAACCATCGAATAGTTACGGTTAACGGGCAATTTCCAGGACCGACTCTCGTAGTACAAAATGGGGATAGTCTCGTTGTCAAAGTCACGAATGCCGCACCTTACAACGTCACGATGCACTGGTACATATTTATATAGTTCCCTCGCCCGTCTTAATCTTGTTTGGTCGTCCTATGTAAATTTGTTACAGTAAGATGTTTCTATGTACTTATGAAATATATTGAAACGCTAAACATAATAATAATAATATGAATTCTTATAAAGCCGATTTTGTTTTCAGGCATGGAGTACGTCAACTGCGAAACCCATGGGCAGATGGACCAGAATATGTGACCCAATGCCCGATCCGGCCTGGAGGAAGTTACACATACAGGTTCACCATAACAGACCAGGAGGGAACATTATGGTGGCATGCTCATAGCCGATGGCTACGATCTACGGTCTATGGTGCACTCGTGATCCGCCCTAAGTCGGGTTCTTCGTACCCTTTTCCAAACCCCAAAATCGAGTTTCCTGTTGTTCTAGGTACGTATATAAACTAACTTTAGTCCTTAAATCGATCAATGAGTTTTTGGTCGATATGAAAACTTACTAGTTCATGTTATTTGACGATAAAACAGGCGAATGGTGGGATAGAAAGGTTATCAGTGTCCTACGACAAGCGTTATTCACTGGCGCAGCTCCGAACGTTTCAGATGCTCTCACGATTAACGGACAACCCGGTGATCTTTWCAGATGTTCTACCCAAGGTTTTCTACCCGCCCCAACTAACTATAAAACTGTMTTACGTCAAATATGTTTTATTTCAAAAATGTCTTAAAAACCTATTAGAATGTCCAAAACACGTTCTATCAACTTACAGTAACAACAATACAGGACGCACATATAGCATCCTAAAAGCAATCTATTAAGACATTCAGACATATTTGGCGTCCTATGAAATCGATTTTGTTGTAGTGCATCCATCACAAAAAGCCTATAATCCATGAGGATATATAATTAACCATGACTGTGTTATGCAGGTACTACGAAACTTTCGGTGAACAAAGGCGATACGGTTCTTCTCAGAGTCATTAACGCTGCACTCAATCAACAACTCTTTTTCAGCGTGGCGAACCACAAACTAACCATAGTCGCGACCGATGCTGTTTACACCAAGCAATTTACAACCAATGTGATCATGGTTGGGCCTGGTCAAACCACGGACGTCCTCCTGACTGCTGATCAGCAACCTGGGCGTTACTACATGGCTGCACGAGCCTATGCAAGTGCTAGAAATRCTCCATTTGACAACACCACCACCACAGCTATCTTAGAGTACAAATCCACCACTTCTCAGCCAATATTACCACAACTTCCAGCCTACAACGACACCAACACAGTCACCGCATTCTCGAACCAATTAAAAAGTCTTGGTAAAGTAACGGTTCCTACTAAAATAGACGAAAACCTTTTTTTCACAATGGGATTCGGGTTCTTTAACTGCACTCCTGGACCTAGATGTCAAGGACCGAATAACACACGGTTTGGAGCTAGTATGAACAACGTGTCATTTGTACTGCCAAACCGGGTATCGTTACTTCAAGCTTATACACAAAAGATTCCGAATATCTACACACCCGACTTTCCGCCTGTACCACCTCTACAATTCGATTACACTGGCAATGTTCCTCGTGGGCTGTGGCAACCAGTTAAGGGAACGAAACTTTACAATCTCAAGTTCGGTTCTAACGTGCAGATCGTGCTGCAAGATACGTCCATCTTCTCAACCGAAGATCATCCGGTTCATCTCCATGGTTATCATTTCTATATCGTTGGTCAAGGTTTTGGTAACTTCAATCCTTCAAGTGATCCTGCAAACTTCAATCTCGTTGATCCACCACAAAGGAATACAATCGACGTCCCAGTTGGGGGATGGGCAGCCATCAGATTTGTAGCTGATAATCCAGGTAAACCCACATGAATTTATGAATCTTTAATCCGAAAAGCACAATCTTTCTCTTCAAGATCGATGATTTCTAAACTAAAAACATATGTGAAGCTAATACTGGGATCTTATATATATATTTACAGGAGTTTGGCTGATGCACTGTCACATAGATACACATCTGGCATGGGGTTTTGCAATGGCTTTCATCGTTGAAAATGGAGTTGGGGAATCTGAAACATTACTGCCTCCTCCTTCTGATCTACCTCAATGTTAAGATCATTCATTACACCATTTCTATGTTTGTGTGACGTCATCAAGTGCTTCTGTTTAATTTTTTTCCTCTCTTTTTCTTTCTTTCTTCTTTTGCTTAGCTAATGGAGCAAAGTATATAGCAGTGTTCATGGGTTTTAGGGTTCATCATATCCTCTTAATCCATACATTCTTGTGTGCAAGCAAATAGAGAATGATTCATCGATCAGTTGATCATATATATGTAGAAGTTGGTCATGTGTTCTTCAGTTCTTGTACCTATAAAATACTAAATGCTACATCCAATTGAGTTGTTGTTCTTGGAACTTTAATTTTAGGTTATTGCAGGCTTAAACAGCACCCATCTTGGCCATATATATATATATATATATATCTATACTACTTTATAAATCAAATTTGTCTAAAGTCTTAAAAACACCTTAATATGCATAAGGTACTACCAGAAAGTTAAAGTCTTAAAAATATACAACTTATTAATGCATCTTGTACAACTTAATACTGCTTCATCCTAAAAAAAATCGTGTCGATTCATCCTCCCAATGTGTCTCTTCATCCTCCCACATCATACTCCTCAATGTGCTTCTTCATCCTCCCAAAATCAGACTTTCAATGTTATTTAGTTGCTTTCCAAGATGTCGATTGGAGCTTTGGATATTTCAATTTCACTCCTGAATCGAACCTAATGAACCAAATCGACATCTGGTTCTGTTTTCTTCTTTCATTCTCCATCCCTTCTCCTCACCATCGATCTCCCCACTTTCAAGATCCTCCTCTTCATCTTCATCATCTGATTCAGGGCAAGAAATTCCACAACACGGGTCAAACCATCGCCTTCTTATGCTCAATTCAGGGCTCGAAATCAACAAGGGCAGCCATGGCTGTATTTCCCGGAGGTATTCATCAAAACTTCTGCTTTCAAACCATCGCCTTCTTATGATAGTGTTTTGAACTTCAAAATTTCAAACATGAGCAGGGAAAATTAAAAGAATCCTACACACTTCCTTTTATAAAATTTCAAAAGGAAATATCATAAATTCCAAGTAAAAACGTTAGAATTTCAACTCATTTTTGGTAAACCTTATGAACCCTAATTTTTGATTTTGTTATACTATCAACGTGGCTCTATTTCAGCCCTAAGTAGTTGAAATTTCATTGAAAACCTATCTTTTTTGGTCTTTTCTGATTTATAGTATGTTGAACTTTGTAGGTTTTTTATGGGTTTTGAGTGTTCATGATAAAACTTGAGTTTGTTGTAGTTCATCTTAAACCTCATTCTTTTTAAATCCTATTGATGGTTGCAGAACCAGGTAGGAGATGCTCCTGAGGAGTCTTCCTGCTGCCAGGTCAAGGCTAAATGGTAACGAATCTCACACTTGAAATCATGCAATCATCTTGGTCAATGCTCATGTTTAGGAAACACCAACCTTTGAATATGAGTATGGGAAGAATATTGCTAACCTAATGTTTACAACACCAACAGTGGTTTTTTTACAGCACATCAGTAACTTTGGTAACTTCAGAGGACCCTTTTGAATAACAAGCATTTTTTTTCATGCCCAAGTTTATGTATACGACAAGTGCGGTTTATAATTATAAGTTTATAATTGTATGGATTATAGTTTATATATATTCTTTCTCTTTGTTGTTTGTTTTATCTAAACCAATTACACTTTTAGAAAACTTCTTAGCTAGATTTCACACTTTTAGAATTGATTATAGTTTTTATAGATATTCTTATTAACCTTCTATCCGAACTGTGATGAGCAAATATCCCAATAAGCACAATCGTTTGTACATGGAAGCTAGGCCAATGGAGGAAGGACTTGCAGAGGCTATTGATGAGGGGAGAATTGGGCCTCGGGATGATTCCAAGGTACATGGTAAGATCTTGGTTGAGGAGTTTTGTTCTCATCTGGATTTGTTTTCTTGTTTTCTCGATTTGACATCTTGGTCTATTTTGCTCATCTGGATTTGTTTTCTTGTTTTTCTTCATCTCGGTTGATATTAGTGGTTTTTTTTGGGTGGGGGGTATTTACTCTACATATCTCATATATAAATGTGTAGAAAAGGAATCAGGATTTACCTTAATTATAAACCAATAGAGAAAGGGATGCATTAGACAGGCTCTTTCATGTGCATCCCATCTTGTAAGCTATCCATTATAAAATATGATCTTTTCCTTGAGTAGTTTAATGGTTATTTGGCTAGCTGTTGATGATGCTTATGGTACGGCTTTCAATTTTATTTTCCGTTCTGGAGGTATATCCGAGGTCGTCGCCATGGTTATCGGAAAACATATCTAGGCTGTGATGATATTATTTTGCATCTAACATTTCCGAGAATAGGTTTCTAGGCACTGGGTGAAAATCGGCACGTATCTTGGATTGAATCATCAAAATAACCTCGTTTTATCATGCAGAACCATACAGGAAGGGAAAACCCAAATTGGAAACAAGTATTCTTTGCCACTACAACCAGGCGCGATGTTGGTGGCGACGGTGGTGGTGGAGGAGTACTAGCCACTACTCTTCTTGATCATCAATCCATTAACCACACCTTATTCAACAATTTTCCAGGTATAGATATATGTAAACGTTCTTTTGTTTATCCAACTTTTATACGAAAACCTGAACATGGTTTTATCAATTTATGTTGGAATAATTGGATTTTTGTGTTGTTACAGTTGGGAATTGTAGTACGAATCAAAGGAAAAGGGGAATAGAATATGTGATGAATCAATTCTTGTCGAACCACCATCAACAACACTATTTCTTCTCAATCCTCTGGTTTTGCATCTTTGTTATCAGAATACTTATCCAACCTAATCCATCAACAAAGAGATGAAATTGAGCATTATCTTCAAGTCTAGGTAAGAATTCATTAAACAAATTGAAAATATGGATTAGTTTTTGGCAATTTGATAGCTGAAAATGGGTTTCTTGCAGGAAGAAGAGCTTAGGCGTAAATTAGCAGAAAAGAGGCAACAACACTATTTTGTGCTGATCAGGGCGGCGAAGGAGTCGGCGTCACAAATGATAAAGGGACAAGGAGGTAAAGGCGTTTTGCAAGCCGATCTGGAGGATCGGGCATTGCAGCTTAGCATAGAGGCTCAAGTTTGGCAGGCAAAGGCGAGGGTGCAGGAGGCAGTTGCGGCAGCGCTACAAACGCAGCTACAGCGAGCCATCATTACCATTTTAAACGCTATGTATAACAATTCTCAGAAATTTCAAGTTTTAACCGATAATGTTTTTTGAAAGCTCGATGATTGTTGACTGCTTGTTCTTGTGGGATGATTTGTTTTTAAACTTTTAGGTGTTATTTTATTTTTTAATGGATTAAACATCAAAGAACATATTTGTGGAGTCATTTAACTAAGTAGTGTATGTTATACCAAAATGAATTGTGAAAGGAGTGTTAATATGTTGAGTTATCGAGTAAGACTCTCCATCTTTATCGTCGCTTTTGTCGACTTTAATTATGGTACTTGTCATGTTAATTTAGTAGGTAAATGGATCAGTAATCGTTTACCAGGTAAACGTTTAATAAACGACCCTTTAATTGGAGTTGATCTAATTAAATTGTTTATTGTATATCAGTTGTTTATCCAACTAAAATTGCACAGTCGATCAATATCATATGATTACATTGGTTTGCTTTCATCCAACTATCCAAGAATATTTGAACAATATACGTAATCCAAAACATTTTAACCATATACGTAATCCAAGATGAAAAATTCAAATTAATTTTTTTTTATACTTTAATAGATATTTATATTAGGTTGGATTGGTTTAAATATATTGGATTTTAAACTGTCATACAAATTTTTTTCATTGGTAGAGTGTAATTTGAACCATAACTCTTATTTATTCAAATAGTATTACTATGTAAAGATCAAGTGTAAGTTATATCATCGTTAAAATCTCTTCTAACAAAATCACGGAAGCTTCAAAATCGTTAAAATTCACGGCTCCCGCCGCATTGCGCGGGTACACAACTAGTATATATATATATATATATATATATATATAGGGTTGGGTTCACGTGAGACTAGCCTGTTTTCGTGAGACCCGTGAGACCACATTTTTACACGTAAACTTCACAGCAAAAACACTG